ATCAAATCTTTGGTATTTCAAAATTACCCTTCAAGTATTTGCCAATTTACCTTCTAAACCATATGGCAAATGTTAGACATTTTACATCTTTAGACATTTTACAAGTCTTCATCACTATCCATTAATCTCTCTCCAGCAGCTAAATGAATCAAATGGGAATATTCTCTGTATTTCCATTAAGAAAATCATAAGTTTTAAAGTGACTAAGCGCCGCAATAATTAATTAAGCACGCTTTTTTACTAGTCTTTGAGATCCAGATTTAAAAGAGAAAATAAAGGGAGATATGTAAAGAGAGAAACATTCTTGGGGTATTCATGGCTCTTAGTTGAAGGATAGAGGAAGGAGAGGATAGAGTAGGAATTTTACACTCATTTCTCAGGCATAATGGAAGTAAGGGGATGATATACTCATGAATCTAGTATAATTTGAGGGACTAATTGTTAAATAGAAAGATCTTGAAAGGCAAGTTTAAATATCAAAGATTTGACGGGCATATGTAAAAAACCAAATCAACAACAACAACAACAATAACAATAGATAACAATAAATGCAACATAGTTTGCCATCTTGGATACAAGTCTTTTTCCTTTATTAAGTCAATAATTTTGTCTAAATAGTTGAGGGTCTACAATATGTGAACATGGACACATGACTCACTTTGAAGTGTTTGTACACATTAGGTGATCACCATTCATCGAGTATCTCAAAGAAAAGAAGCCTTACTAATATCATCTCGTACTTGCCTGCATCTGCACTTGTTGAACTGCTTGTCTAATCATCTGATCCCCAACAATACTCTTGCAAACTCTCAAAAAGTTTTCCTTGGTCATTTCCTGAGACTATTGACAGAAGATTTCAGTTCACAAAAAGATAGCTACATAGAGAGTTGACTTTACGTAAAGACTAATAGGTGGTTAAATGATTCATGAATATTTATAATTAATATTCACTTGCTTATCACGACTTCATACAAAATAGTGCTTAACAAATGGTTAAATTTTATGTCAACCATAGAAAATGGCATCAAAAGAAAGATGGGTCAATATCGCTATAAAGGATGAGCTGATGTATGTAATCAGACAACTACAGAGGGATATTATGGCAACAGCTGCTAATCTACCAAATCGCACAATCATTTATATTAAGGTACAAATCGAAGGATCAAACTAAGACTCATGACAGATATGACAAATAGGATCATATGACAGATAAATAAAACTATATAAAGAGACAAAAGTACAAAAATACATGTGTATTCCAATTTTCTTCAAATCATAAATTGTTAAGGAAAGACATCATTATGTAGGATTATCCTGAAATAACACAAGAACATAACTAGGGATGTTAGGGTCTCTATTGTTCACAAAATGTTTTCATGAAAAATCATTCCTATACCACAAACATTCATGGTGAGTCGGTGACTTACCAGAACTAGAGAACATATGGGACACACCTCAACTCAAGCCTATTTCTCTTCAGTCAACTCAAAATATGGTCGAAATAGAGTCCTGAGCCTTTCACTGGGCATTCTTGTGGAAAAAGGAAAACTGGGGACAATTAGCCTAGCACATTAAATGTGGATTTGCAATTTAAATTGCTATTTGACACATATTGTGCCCCAGGGAAAATGCAAAGGCACTATTTGTAGAGGAACTTGTAAATGAAGGGTGATGTCAGTATCACCTCATGAGGAGAGAAGGGTGGGAGCTAACCACATTTTATGTTCCACTAGTGCATGGTTCACTTAAACTGTAAATTTGGCATAACATTCATATGGTTGGCATAAAGGAGGCAGTTGCTAGTAGGAAGTGACTTTCCCTGGTTAATGCTGACTTCATTAATATCAGTACTGGCACCTGACCATTAAGATATTTCAAATAGTATCATGTCAGACCTACCTTTAATTTAGAAAATACAGCTTGAAGCTGCATGTATCTATCTTTATCAACATGAGGTTGCAAATTCTGTATCATCTGTTGAAATGGAATGGAAGCAGGTGTAATCCACTGAATGGAGTTATTTAATTGGGGAGCAGCAGCTCGTTGTTGATTGTTAAACTGCTGCTCCTTGTTCTTTTGGCTCACAGGATGCCGAGCACCCTCAAGGGTTGGAGGAAAATGAGAAGAATTTTGCTCAGAAAACTTGATCTGCTTATTATCAACAAATTGAAGAGGATTTGCTGCACTCTGTAGTTGTTGATCAATAGACATTTTTTCTGGTAGGAACTGTTTCTTGTCATGTTCCAGGTGACTCTCAGGGCAACATTGATTATCAGAACCAGATACATGATGACTTGATTCTCTCTGAGATATATGCAGCTTTTCTCCATGATGCTGTATTTGTTGTGGAAGACTGTTCCCTTGATCAGAGGCCTGCCAGTGACCATATTGATGCTGTGATGGAGAGTTGCTTCCCTTAGATAATGCCCCTAAAAATAAAGGTCAAAGGCGTGATACACGTCTGGTTTGAATTTGTGCCACAAAATGCATTTTTTTCAGTTATAACTTACAATACAATTTCTAAATAATCCATCTGGAAGTATTAAATGCATATACAATTGCAATTTTCTTCTGCATGTATAACATCGTATAAACTAGAAAGCATAAAAAACCAGATTCTAGATGCTTGTTACATCAATTTTTTTTTCTTCCAGTTGCACGTAATTAAATTATTCCAATGCCCTCAGATATACATCCTTCAATATGTTCTGAATTCTGATATAAACTTGAATACCTTAACCCCATTATATATCAGGCAATGAATGTAATCATGCATCACAGTTTTGGGATCAAAAAGAAAGATCAACCAAAAACCAAACAGTTACATGAAAATATCTAGAGAACTAAAAGATAACATCCAAAAATAAAGATGGAATGCAAACTGCCACAATAGCCAAACTACATCCAGCAATGCCAAAATCACCAACTCTATCACAAAATGTCACCTAGCTTAGGTGCATCCAAAAGATATAGCAAAAGTCATCTGGATAAAGTAGCTGAATCCAAGTATACATGGGAGGGGAAAACCTTCTCACAAGTCAAAGCGCCTGAAGCTACATTCTATATGCATGATTTCTGGACCGTGATGACTAAGGT